TTCATCAAAGTAACTTCAAAATATCACCCCCCTTTTTAGACTGGGAAATACTACATTAAGGAAGGGCCAACATACCAAAGAGACATGCAAATGAAACGCCCTGGCAGAATGCCAGGCTGGACCTTGCAGGAGCACTCAATTCTGGGAATGTGTATTGATTATAAACCTAAGAATTCGGGCATGAAGTCTCAACTTCTCTTAGCTCATCAATATGACTTTGGGGTAAGGGGGGCTTTTTAAATGGAGTTGGGAAAGAGCAAAAGTGCTCATTTTCTCTCTCTGTGAGTTGGAGTTGTTGTTATATATCACCTATATGTTACCTCCCTCATTGCCTGGTCCAGTTTCTGAGTCAGAGACTGGTCAGGCTATTATCTATGGAATGACAATCATAGTGACCAGGATTTGTCTCTCACTTTATAGATGTGGAACCTATTCACATGTGCAGTTTGAAAAGCTGGGAATTTCTGAGCCAACACCTTTGCCTTTCTTTGGAATGTTTCTGCACTACTACAAGGTGAGTATGGTTGAGTTCCCTCTTTTTACTTTGGAAAAAAAATGCCAGTTTAATGTCATTGGTAAAACTGCACTTCTTTTGGAGGAAGTTCCCAGCTCTCATCCTTTTTGAAACAGTGTGCAAGCTCCACCCTGAGCATGGCCACGTTTTCCCTGGGGCTCTGCTGTCAACTTTTCAAGAGCCTCAGTGGAACAGCTCAGATCTCTAGTTCATCTGCATTGGATGCTCATGATGTTGTTCAGACTTGTACATATCATAAAGGGGATGTTTAATTTGCCCTTGCACAATTCCAGGAAATTTATATTGTATTTAATATTTGATAAAAAATCTGTGAAAGAGAAGACATCAAGCACATTCAAACACTCCTATTCATAACTAGATCTTATGAGTAGCTATTTAAAAAATGTTCATGAATAGATTTGAAACTACAATTTCTTGAGCAATGCAAGTATTCATAGTTTGATAATTTGCTCATACATAATTTCTTAATGTCTAGCTGTGACTCAGCACTAATC